GCCTGAATAGCAACTCACTCATCAAAAGTCACTCTATTTAATCCACCTGCTAGTCACTCAGCTCAACCCACTCCACCTTCTCCCTCACAGGAAAGTCAGGCGTGAGGGAGCTCAGTACACCAGAATAATGGGTCAAATAAACCTAAAGCCGTACTGGATGAGTACTGCTTTAGGTACTCGTCCTACTGGACCCAGGTACTGGTCCGACTGGACCCAGGTACTGGTCCGACTGGACCCAGGTACTGGTCCGACTGGACCCAGGTACTGGTCCGACTGGACCCAGGTACTGGTCCGACTGGACCCAGGTACTGGTCCGACTGGACCCAGGTACTGGCTACAGAGCAGCGGCAGGAGCGACACCCGCCACTTTCCCGGCCACAAGTGCCCATGGAACAACAGGAAGTAATCCACCTTGGCAGGAACTACAGCAGCCCACGAGAGATGAACAGTATTAAATGTCAGATACAAATGTCATCCTTCCCGCCACCCTCCCCAGCCACCCTCCCCGCCACCCTCCCCAGCCACTCACACATCCCCGCCACCCTCCCCAGCCACCCTCCCCGCCACCCTCCCCAGCCACTCACACATCCCCGCCACCCTCCCCAGCCACTCACACATCCCCGCCACCCTCCCCAGCCACTCACACATCCCCGCCACCCTCCCCAGCCACTCACACATCCCCGCCACCCTCCCAGCCACACACACATCGCCGCCACCCTCCCCAGCCACTCACACATCCCCGCCACCCTCCCAGCCACACACACATCCCCGCCACCCTCCCCAGCCACTCACACATCCCCGCCACCCTCCCAGCCACTCACACATCCCCGCCACCCTCCCCAGCCACTCACACATCCCCGCCACCCTCCCAGCCACTCACACATCCCCGCCACCCTCCCAGCCACTCACACATCCCCGCCACCCTCCCCAGCCACTCACACATCCCCGCCACCCTCCCAGCCACTCACACATCCCCGCCACCCTCCCCAGCCACTCACACATCCCCGCCACCCTCCCAGCCACTCACACATCCCCGCCACCCTCCCAGCCACACACACCAGCAACAACAACAGAGGTCAACAAGAAGGGCCTCACTGGAAGTGTTCGAAAGTCCAGGAAAAGTGGTATAAAACTTTGATGGTGCCGCCAGCAAGAGCAAGAACAGCTGCACCAGTGGCAGCTGCACCAGTGGCAGCTGCACCAGTGGCAGCTGCACCAGTGGCAGCTGCACCAGTGGCAGCTTGGACAACAACTGGAGGTGCAGCAGTGGGGCCAGAAGCAGCAGCTGCACCACCAACAAACTAGGGGGCAAGAATTACACACAAAGGGGGTTTAATTTCCACAAGTCGTAATTTGTTCCTAAAAGCATTTATCCTTTATAAATGAGAGCTAAATATTTTGTTGTTGTTTTACTTTAGTATATAAAAGCGTCTTTATGTTAATTGAAAACATAAAGATGCTTATGTTGCTACATATATATATATATATATATATATATATATATATATATATATATATATATATATATATATATATATATATATATATATATATATATATATATATATATATATATAACAACATTTTTATCCTAATATATATGACAATGTCAGGTCAATAATAGTGAGGCAGGAAATTCCTTAAGTACCTTCGTATTTATCAATACACCTTCTAAAGGATGGTGGTTACATACCAGCCATTATGATTGGTGGGGTGTATATAGGCAGGAATGTTACGAGAACACACGTCACTACGGGCTCGCCATAGGCCGTGCTACTTGCAACATTTTGTTCCCAGTTGCTGACTCTAAAACAATAGAGAACATACTGACTCCGCTCTGGCCTGCAACAGCCTGAGACACTCTGGCCTGCAACAGCCTGACACACTCTGGCCTGCAACAGCCTGACGCACTCTGGCCTGCAACAGTCTGACATACTCTGGCCTGCAACAGCCTGACGCACTCTGGCCTGCAACAGCCTGACACACTCTGGCCTGCAACAGCCTGACCCACTCTGGCCTGCAACAGTCTGACACACTCTGGCCTGCAACAGCCTGACCCACTCTGGCCTGCAACAGTCTGACACACTCTGGCCTGCAACAGCCTGACACACTCTGGCCTGCAACAGCCTGACACACTCTGGCCTGCAACAGTCTGACACACTCTGGTCTGCAACAGCCTGACACACTCTGGCCTGCAACAGTCTGACACACTCTGGCCTGCAACAGCCTGACCCACTCTGGCCTGCAACAGCCTGACACACTCTGGCCTGCAACAGCCTGACCCACTCTGGCCTGCAACAGTCTGACACACTCTGGCCTGCAACAGCCTGACCCACTCTGGCCTGCAACAGCCTGACACACTCTGGCCTGCAACAGCCTGACACACTCTGGCCTGCAACAGCCTGACACACTCTGGCCTGCAACAGTCTGACACACTCTGGCCTGCAACAGCCTGACCCACTCTGGCCTGCAACAGCCTGACACACTCTGGCCTGCAACAGCCTGACCCACTCTGGCCTGCAACAGCCTGACATACTCTGGCCTGCAACAGCCTGACACACTCTGGCCTGCAACAGCCTGACCCACTCTGGCCTGCAACAGCCTGACCCACTCTGGCCTGCAACAGTCTGACCCACTCTGGCCTGCAACAGCCTGACACACTCTGGCCTGCAACAGCCTGACACACTCTGGCCTGCAACAGCCTGACCCACTCTGGCCTGCAACAGCCTGACACACTCTGGCCTGCAACAGCCTGACCCACTCTGGCCTGCAACAGTCTGACACACTCTGGCCTGCAACAGTTTAACACACTCTGGCCTGCAACAGCCTGACCCACTCTGGCCTGCAACAGCCTGACACACTCTGGCCTGCAACAGCCTGACACACTCTGGCCTGCAACAGTCTGACACACTCTGGTCTGCAACAGCCTGACACACTCTGGCCTGCAACAGCCTGACACACTCTGGCCTGCAACAGCCTGACACACTCTGGCCTGCAACAGCCTGACACACTCTGGCCTGCAACAGCCTGACACACTCTGGCCTGCAACAGCCTGACACACTCTGGTCTGCAACAGCCTGACACACTCTGGCCTGCAACAGCCTGACACACTCTGGCCTGCAACAGCCTGACACACTCTGACCTGCAACAGCCTGACACACTCTGGCCTGCAACAGCCTGACCCACTCTGGCCTGCAACAGTCTGACACACTCTGGCCTGCAACAGCCTGACCCACTCTGGCCTGCAACAGCCTGACACACTCTGGCCTGCAACAGCCTGACACACTCTGGCCTGCAACAGCCTGACACACTCTGGCCTGCAACAGCCTGACCCACTCTGGCCTGCAACAGTTTAACACACTCTGGCCTGCAACAGTCTGACACACTCTGGCCTGCAACAGTTTAACACACTCTGGCCTGCAACAGCCTGACCCACTCTGGCCTGCAACAGTTTAACACACTCTGGCCTGCAACAGTCTGACACACTCTGGCCTGCAACAGCCTGACACACTCTGGCCTGCAACAGTCTGACACACTCTGGCCTGCAACAGCCTGACACACTCTGGCCTGCAACAGCCTGACACACTCTGGCCTGCAACAGCCTGACACACTCTGGCCTGCAACAGTTTAACACACTCTGGCCTGCAACAGCCTGACACACTCTGGCCTGCAACAGCCTGACCCACTCTGGCCTGCAACAGTTTAACACACTCTGGCCTGCAACAGTCTGACACACTCTGGCCTGCAACAGCCTGACACACTCTGGCCTGCAACAGTCTGACACACTCTGGTCTGCAACAGCCTAACACACTCTGACCTGCAACAGCCTGACACACTCTGGCCTGCAACAGTCTGACACACTCTGGCCTGCAACAGCCTGACACACTCTGGCCTGCAACAGTCTGACACACTCTGACCTGCAACAGCCTGACACACTCTGGCCTGCAACAGTCTGACACACTCTGGCCTGCAACAGCCTGACACACTCTGGCCTGCAACAGTCTGACACACTCTGGCCTGCAACAGCCTGACACACTCTGACCTGCAACAGCCTGACACACTCTGGCCTGCAACAGCCTGACACACTCTGACCTGCAACAGCCTGACACACTCTGGCCTGCAACAGCCTGACACACTCTGGCCTGCAACAGCCTGACACACTCTGGCCTGCAACAGCCTGACACACTCTGGCCTGCAACAGCCTGACACACTCTGACCTGCAACAGCCTGACACACTCTGGCCTGCAACAGCCTGACACACTCTGGCCTGCAACAGCCTGACCCACTCTGGCCTGCAACAGTGACAGTAACAACAATTCTTGCTAGTGCTTCCCATATTGGAGGATGTGTAGAGTATCAGGTGGTGTCAGGCGGCCTCATACCTATCAGGGAGGCTGCGAGGGTTCCATCACCGCCTGTTGCATCCTTATCTCCCGTCTGCAGGTTGCTGCATCCGCTGCACGCCCGTCTCCGCCCGCCTCTGCCCGCCTCCGCCCGTCTCCGCCCGTCTCTGCCCGCCTCCGCCCGCTTCCGCCCGTCTCCGGCTACCTCCGCCCGCCTCCGCCCGTCTCCGCCCGCCTCCGCCCGCCTCCGCCCGCCTCCGCCCGTTTCCGCCCGCCTCCGCCCGCCTCCGCCCGTCTCCGGCCGTTTCCGCCCGTCTCCGGCCGTCTCCGCCCGCCTCCGCCCGCCTCCGCCCGTCTCCGCCCGCCTCCGCCCGTCTCCGGCCGTTTCCGCCCGTCTCCGGCCGTCTCCGCCCGCCTCCGCCCGCCTCTGCCCGTCTCCGCCCGTCTCCGCCCACACGCAGTCGGGGGCTCGCACACCCAACGGATCTCTTGGTGAACAGATCAGGGAACTCTTGGCTGTTGAGGCCATGCTTCAGGACAGAAATTGCTGCATTACTTATCACAAAAAGAGTCCGCTACGGGCTCACCATAGCCCGTGATACTTGGAACTTTTTGTTCCAAGTAGCGAATCTTAAACAACTACAAATTATGGCAACAATGTGGTAGTTACACTGGTGGCCATTAACTCCAGCTTGGCACTGTCTCATTTTGGCAGTCTGTCAACTTATATTACAATGTTAAATTCAGTTTACAATGACAATGTACATCAAGTACCACAGGTTATATTACCACAGACTGCCACCAGCACGTCTACTTAAGTTGCAAGGTTAGATATAGGGGGCCTGATAGCTGAGTAGACAGCGCTTCGGATTCGTAGTCCTGAGGCTCCGGGTTCAATTCCCGGTGGAGGGAGAAACATATGGGCAGAGTTTCTTTCGTCCTGATGCCCCTGTTACCTAACAGTAAATAGGTACCTGGGAGTTAGACAGCTGTTATGGGCTGCTTCCTGGGGATGTGTGTGTGTGTGTGGACAAAATTAATGAATAAATATACTAGTAACAGTTGATTGACAGTTGAGAGGCGGGCCGACAGAGCAGAGCTCAACCCTCGCAAGCACAACTAGGTGACTACAGACTGTCCAATGTGAATTAAATACTTGACACTCGAGCAACATAACACTGAACACTGTGGTCGCACATGACCCTAAATGTGTGACCTATGACCACACACAACGCGGCTGACTGTACATTATCACATAGGCTGACGGCCGGTCAGAGCAACACGTCACCTTGGCTAGCAAACCTCTGTCTGTGACAGACGCTGGTGAAGCCTCTCTTTGGCCAGGCGAGGACTCAATCACAAGATAACCCCATAGAAGTAAAATCTGTAACACTTGGGTACTGGCCAGAGAGACATTCGTGGTGTGGAATGACAGATCTAACTGTCATTCCACACCACAGTAACGAGGCATGATGATCCACTGACAATGTCGACTTGGCTATGGCGACGGGTCCGACCTCACAGATGCTGCTCGTGGCTACTGCTGTATATGTAATGTATTGCCTTGTAAAATTTATGTATATATGATTTATATTGAATTTTATTAAATAAAGATAAAACAAAATTTGTGCTGGTAGAAGGGATGTGCAGTAACACAGTAGAAGGGATGTGCAGTAACACACTCCACACCCTGAGCTGTGAGACCTTGGTGTGAGACACAGTGACATAGTGACAGTGACGGTTGTTACACATATATTGTGATACACACAGTACCGACCAGCACCAGACCAATACTGCACCACCGACACCGACACCAGCACCGACACCAGCACCGACACCAGCACCGACACCGACACCGACACCGACACCAGCACCGACACCAGCACCGACACCGACACCAGCACCGACACCAGCACCGACACCGACACCAGCACCGACACCGACACCAGCACCGACACCGACACCGACACCAGCACCGACACCGACACCAGCACCGACACCGACACCAGCACCGACACCGACACCAGCACCGACACCAGCACCGACACCGACACCAGCACCGACACCGACACCAGCACCAGCACCGACACCAGCACCGACACCGACACCAGCACCGACACCGACACCGACACCAGCACCGACACCGACACCGACACCGACACCAGCACCGACACCAGCACCGACACCGACACCAGCACCGACACCGACACCAGCACCGACACCGACACCAGCACCGACACCGACACCGACACCGACACCAGCACCGACACCGACACCGACACCAGCACCGACACCGACACCGACACCAGCACCGGCACCGACACCAGCACCGACACCGACACCAGCACCGACACCGACACCAGCACCGACACCGACACCGACACCGACACCAGCACCGACACCAGCACCGACACCGACACCAGCACCGACACCGACACCAGCACCGACACCGACACCAGCACCGACACCGACACCAGCACCGACACCAGCACCGACACCGACACCAGCACCGACACCGACACCAGCACCGACACCGACACCGACACCGGCACCGACACCGACACCAGCACCGACACCGACACCAGCACCGACACCAGCACCGACACCAGCACCGACACCGACACCAGCACCGACACCAGCACCGACACCGACACCAGCACCGACACCGACACCAGCACCGACACCGACACCAGCACCGACACCAGCACCGACACCGACACCAGCACCGACACCAGCACCGACACCGACACCAGCACCGACACCGACACCAGCACCGACACCGACACCGACACCAGCACCGACACCGACACCAGCACCGACACCGACACCAGCACCGACACCAGCACCGACACCAGCACCGACACCGACACCAGCACCGACACCAGCACCGACACCGACACCAGCACCGACACCAGCACCGACACCGACACCAGCACCGACACCGACACCAGCACCGACACCGACACCAGCACCGACACCGACACCAGCACTAGTACCAGCAGCAGCAACATATATGTGTGGTTAGCACTCCACTACCAAACAACAGTTCAAGTACTTATCTCTCATAAAATTCAAATTTTGGTGGTCTCATAAGGACGAGGGATGAAGGCCATCGTAGTATCGTTGACCTGCTCACATCGTACCCCACCTGGTGATGATAAGCACAATCATCCCAGCTGCATGCAAAAGCAGTTTAGGACAAGTGCACACGAGTGTACGAGGCCACGAATTCACTCCATTGCTCCTCTCAGGCATAACTCTTGCACACACACGCCAGGCAATGTGAGTTCCACAACTCTCACAACCTTGTGCTTATGACAATGTGCATAATAATGTCTGTGGGGCCTGAAAAAGATGCATCTCCAACAAATATTATTTTAACGGACATATAAACCATGCAACTAACCACCAATTTAAAAGAACCTCTCTGGAGCCTAATAAAAGCGATCCAGTGCCGAGTTTTTGAAAATCTTAAGCATAATATAGTAAATATATATGCTGTACTAGGGCTTGGAGAGGATAGGTTAGACTGTACTTTCTGTCTTGGCGCCCTGTACAATTGTAATGGTCCAAATTGTGGACGTTTTCAGTAGGGGAAAGTGGGAGAATGGGCGCCACTGTCCACTTTTCGTACATATTTCTCAGGATGATGTTTCTCAATACTCATAATCCTTCCACTGGATAAAGGTTCTCATTACGTGTGAACTTTCACCCTGGGTGATGGTTCTCACTGCACATAGTCCTCCCACTGAGCAAAGGTTCTCAGCACATATAACTTTTCCTCCCTTACCCCGGGTGATGGTTCTCCCATTTTGCTTCCAGTAGATGAACGACATATGAGATTCAGAAACAAGTAGTGTATTGTGAGGACTAATAATAAACAGAAGCTCCCCTATGACTCTGTAATATCCCCATTGGCCAAACTATTATGTATTAACGACAAGACCTACCATTAATGTATGATGACTTACTGTAAATATGTAGCTCTTGTAATAGCACTTTCTCTGTAACTAGCTGACATTGTATCTATAAGGTGTGAAGGATTGAAGAAATTGTTTATGTAATAATCTAAGATGAGGTCTGATAAAGACCTTTTGTGCCCTCTGTAATGCTTTTGCGCTACCGCTCACAGGATGAGTATGGGGTGCACAATAAACTAGCCGCCTTCGGCGGCAACAATAAAAAATCCACGCATACTACCCCGGGTGAGAGAGTTCTCAATACGCATAATCCTTCCCTCGAGTAACGGTTTTCCCTACGCACACAATTCTCCTTCCGGGTTAATATTTGTGGCACTCAAAATCCTCCCAAAGGTGAGGATTCTCGGTACACAACAGTCTCCGTATCCAGGATGAAGGTCCTTAATATTCACAATACTTCCCCAGAGCGAGGCTTCTCCCCTGGGAGGGGCGCATGACAAGAGTGAGAGACACCCCCGACACCCTATCACCTGGCAGGGTAACGGGGTTTCCTCACTCTACTTGTTATTCATAGAGACAATTACAGTGATAAAGCCCTTAAGAGACGGCTGGGAGCCAGGGAGAGGTGCAGCAACGGGTCGTGTGGTCGTGTCATGGTGTTGAGGACGACCAGGGATGGGGGTACTGCGCGAGAGGCCAAGTGAATGATCAGGAAATTGGTTTACATCGCGATTTACACAGAATTGTAAACCTGGTCTGAGGATTAACCTGTAATATTTGAGTATACATGAACTGAAAGATAAGTTGAGTTTATCTCGGGGCATTTTGTGGTTTACTGTGGTTAAAAGGCAAGTTTAGCACAAGTGTACTATTTGGTGGGGTAGACTGGGCAGCGGGTCGCTCCCTTCGTGGTCCCTGTGAACACGCTCTCGCTGGAGGCCTCCTGAGGTATCTTGCTGAGGCTCCTACACCATAACACACCATCATCAGCAGCACTACCACCAAACCTAGCTGCAACACCAGCACCAATTGCACCATCAGCACCTGCACAAATAGCAGCACCAACAGCGCCAATACTAGCCCTAGCAGCAACACCATCAGCAGCACCACTAGCACCAGCAGCAGCACTAGCACCGACACCAGCAGCTACACCAGCACTAGCAGCAGCACTAGCACCAACTCCAGCAGCACCAACACCAGCAGCACCACTAGCACCAGCAGCAGCACTAGCACTAACAGCAGCACCAGCAGCAGCACAAGCACCGACACCAGCAGCTACACCAGCACTAACAGCAGCACCAGCACCAGCACTAGCACCACTAGCACCAGCAGCAGCACTAGCATCACTAGCACCAGCACCACTAGCACCAGCAGCAGCACCACTAGCACCAGCACTAGCACCACTAGCACCAGCAGCAGCACTAGCATCACTAGCACCAGCACCAGCACTAGCACCACTAGCACCAGCAGCAGCACTAGCATCACTAGCACCACTACCACTAGCACCAGCAGCAGCACCACTAGCACCAGCACCAGCACTAGCACCACTAGCACCAGCAGCAGCACCACTAGCACCAGCAGCAGCACCACTAGCACCAGCAGCAGCACCACTAGCACCAGCAGCAGCACCACTAGCACCAGCACCAGCACTAGCACCACTAGCACCAGCAGCAGCACCACTATCACAAGCAGCAGCACTAGCACCAGCAGCAGCACTAGCACCGACACCAGCAGCTACACCAGCACTAGCAGCAGCACCAGCAGCAGCACTAGCACCAACTCCAGCAGCACCAACACCAGCAGCAGCACCAACACCAGCAGCAGCACCAACACCAGCAGCACCACCACTAGCACCAGCAGCAGCACCACCACTAGCACCAGCAGCAGCACCACTAGCACCACCACTAGCACCAGCAGCACCACCAGCACCAGCAGCAGCACCAGCAGCAGCACCAGTAGCACCACCACTAGCACCAGCAGCACCACCAGCAGCAGCACCAGCAGCAGCACCAGCAGCACCACCACTAGCACCAGCAGCAGCACCAGCAGCAGCACCAGCAGCAGCACCAGCAGCAGCACCAGCAGCACCACCACTAGCAGCAGCACCAGCAGCACCACCACTAGCACCAGCAGCAGCACCACCACTAGCACCAGCAGCAGCACCACCACTAGCACCAGCAGCAGCACCAGCACCACCAGCACCAGCAGCAGCACCAGCAGCACCACCACTAGCACCAGCAGCAGCACCAGCAGCAGCACCACCAGCACCAGCAGCAGCGCCAGCAGCACCACCACTAGCACCAGCAGCAGCACCAGCAGCAGCACCACCACTAGCACCAACACCAGCAGCACCACCACTAGCACCAGCAGCACCACCACTAGCACCAGCAGCAGCACCACTAGCACCAGCAGCAGCACCAGCAGCAGCACCACTAGCACCAGCAGCAGCACCACTAGCACCAGCAGCAGCACCAGCACCAGCAGCACCACCACTAGCACCAGCAGCAGCACCACTAGCACCACCACTAGCACCAGCAGCACCACCACTAGCACCAGCAGCAGCACCACTAGCACCAGCAGCAGCTCCAGCAGCAGCACCAGCAGCACCACCACTAGTACCAGCAGCACCACTAGCACCAGCAGCAGCACCAGCAGCACCAGCACCAGCACCAGCAGCACCACTAGCACCAGCAGCAGCACCACTAGCACCAGCAGCAGCACCACTAGCACCACCAGCAGCACCACCACTAGCACCAGCAGCAGCACCACTAGCACCAGCAGCAGCACCAGCAGCAGCAGCAGCACCACCACTAGCACCAGCAGCAGCACCACTAGCACCAGCAGCACCAGCAGCAGCACCACTAGCACCAGCAGCACCACTAGCACCAGCAGCAGCACCACTAGCACCAGCACCAGCAGCAGCACCAGCAGCACCACTAGCACCAGCAGCAGCACCACTAGCACCAGCAGCAGCACCAGCAGCAGCACCAGCAGCACCAGCACCAGCAGCACCACTAGCACCAGCAGCAGCACCAGCAGCACCACTAGCACCAGCAGCAGCACCAGCAGCAGCACCACTAGCACCAGCAGCACCACCACTAGCACCAGCAGCAGCACCAGCAGCAGCACCAGCAGCAGCACCAGCAGCACCACCACTAGCACCAGCAGCACCACCACTAGCACCAGCAGCAGCACCAGCAGCAGCACCAGCAGCAGCACCAGCAGCACCACTAGCACCAGCAGCAGCACCACCAGCACCAGCAGCAGCACCACCACTAGCACCAGCAGCAGCACCACTAGCACCAGCAGCAGCACCAGCAGCAGCACCAGCAGCACCACCACTAGCACCAGCAGCAGCACCACTAGCACCAGCAGCAGCACCAGCAGCAGCACCAGCACACCACTAGCACCAGCAGCAGCACCACCAGCACCAGCAGCAGCACCGCCACTAGCACCAGCAGCAGCACCACTAGCACCAGCAGCAGCACCAGCAGCACCACCACTAGCACCAGCAGCAGCACCACTAGCACCAGCAGCAGCACCACCAGCACCAGCAGCAGCACCACTAGCACCAGCAGCACCAGCAGCAGCACCACTAGCACCAGCAGCACCACTAGCACCAGCAGCAGCACCAGCAGCATCACTAGCACCAGCAGCAGCACCACTAGCACCAGCAGCACCAGCAGCACCACTAGCACCAGCAGCAGCACCACTAGCACCAGCAGCAGCACCAGCAGCACCACTAGCACCAGCAGCAGCACCAGCAGCACCAGCAGCACCACTAGCACCAGCAGCAGCACCACTAGCACCAGCAGCACCAGCAGCAGCACCAGCAGCAGCACCACTAGCACCAGCAGCACCAGCAGCAGCACCAGCAGCAGCACCACTAGCACCAGCAGCAGCACCACTAGCACCAGCAGCAGCACCACTAGCACCAGCAGCAGCACCACCAGCACCAGCAGCACCACTAGCACCAGCAGCAGCACCACTAGCACCAGCAGCACCAGCAGCAGCACCAGCAGCACCACTAGCACCAGCAGCACCACTAGCACCAGCAGCACCACCAGCAGCAGCACCACCAGCACCAGCAGCACCACTTGCACCA